TGTGTGTGTGTATATATATACACACACACACTAAAATTGAAGGTGCAAAGGGCCAGGAAGCAGGAGGAAATGGATGGATCTCACCCCCTCCTGCTCTGGTACCCACCGAGCCCATCCCCATCCTGGCGAGGCATCAAGCGTCCGATGAGCCCTGCAGAAGAAGTGCGACAGAGGGATGCAGAAGGTTTGGGGCTCATTGAGCATCCTTGGGATAGTGGTGACGTAGCTGAGCCTCATGGCGGGGAGCAGCACCCAGATAAGCCCTCACACAAGCCCAGGAAGTTTGGGGTGTTCTTTGCCCTGCAACTGCTGCCTCTCCCAAATCTATTCAGGTTTTTTTAAACAAAAACCCTTTTAACTGCATCCCAGGGCATCTTCACCAGCAGCCACATCTCTGCACCCCATGTGCCCGTCCCTGGGCACACCAGAACACTCGGGGAGGGCTGCCAGGGCCCTCTGTGGGGTAGCAGGGGCAAAAATTGCCCCAGTGAGGCTTTTTGTAGGCAAGAGGAGGAGCAGGAAAACCTCTCAGCATCTCTCTGGGCCTCCACCTGCCTCCCGCTATCCCCCAGCGCCTTCCGCACAGCAACACCTTGTCTTTTTCTTTTTAAATGAAGAAAGAAAAAAAGGAGGGAAGAAAAAAAGGAAGACCCCTCCACTTTCATTGGTGGGCACCCAGCAGCAAACCCCCCTCCGCAAGCGCAGCCAGCTCGCTGATGAGATAAAGGAGGAACGTTTTTGTTTCGATTAGAGTAATCGTAGGTGTTACTTGTAATAACAGGTGATAAGATCTTTTGGAGAGAGTGAGGATGTTGTCTGTTTTTTGGGTCGGTTGTGGGTTTTTTTTCTTGTTTTTTAGTTTAAAGACACTCGAGTAGTTGAGCACTGGGAGCTGTTTCGGTGAGGGTGAGGTGGATGGAATGGTGCCTGCATGCCAATTTCCAATGGGAACAAAGCTTTCCCACCACCTACAACTTTATTTAGAGTCGCCCTTAGCTGGTGCTGGGCAGGGCCTGCTCCCCATTTTCCTCCAGCTAATTGGGTTTGAAATGGAAATGCAGCACTTTTCCCCCAAAGCCCATCCCATGTTGGCGATGCTCTTCGGGCTGGGGGTCCCAAGTTCACCCTCAGGTGCCTGTGGCTTTGGCACAGCGGGATTTCGGCAGGAGAAGGAAATGCTGGTAAATAACGTGAGGAAAGATTTCCCTGGGTTTTTTTCCCCATGCCCTTTGGAGTTTCAGGGTGGCAAAGGTACCTTCCTGGAGGGAAATGCAGGAGCAGGGTGGGGGGGGACCAGCATGCGCCCTGCCCCCCACCTTTTTTTTAAAATTATAATTATTTTCTTATTCTATTTATTATTTTATTTGTTATTTTCAAGCTGGCTTCTGCTCCTGCACATCCTCCTTGGGGAACCACCTCTGGGGCAATGCTGGGTTTTTTCGCAGGGATGCTGCTTTCAGGCTCCAGCATCACTGCATCCTTCTCCCAGCCCGGCATCCCATCAGGATGAGGCCGGGATGGCGGAAGCGAACGTGGGGCACGAGGTTGGGGCCAGCCCCGGGTGACGAACTGCTGGCTGTCACATGAGGCCAGCAGCTCGGCACTCTCGGGGGGCATGCGGTTTCCTCCTCTTCATGAAGCCATGGCTTTATGGTAGGTATTGATAAAAAAAAAATGGAAGTCAGCTTTAAAGTCACTCTCGGGAAGAAGAAGGTCTGCACCAAAATATACAGGGAGGCATCAGGGCTCTGTAAGGGGCAGTTCCCGGTGCCATTAGCAGCCTCTCTTTGTGAGACTGATAAGCAAATTTCTGGTGCTATATTTATAACGATGCCACTGTCCAATGCCATGAATTTCCATGGTTCAGGAAGGTAAAAATGCTGGGACTGGCTGGAGCGTGTTCCTCTTGGTGAGGTTAAATGGAACAGTTTCCTCTTGAAATGAGGAAAAAAACCCCAAAACTATAAAGGCTCAAAAGCCCAAAGGCAGGCTATAAATTTTATATCCTCTCTGCGTTTATGAAAATATAAACGCTGGTGACATTCGTGAGCTGCAAGCTGAAGCAACTGGCCTTTGGGATTGGAAAGATCCAACTCTTGTGTGGGATGAAAAATGGCTTTTCCAGCCTCCAGACATCTGGGGTCCAGGATGGACCCTTGGGTGTCCCCATCCCACCCAGTGGGCAAAGCTTGGCCAGGATTTTCCAACCAGAGCCATGAAAACCTCCATTCACTGCTTTTTTTTTTCTCGTTTGGTTATTTTAAAGCAGTGGCATCAGAGCAGCCGGGCGGTGGGAATCGCTGACTCAGCGCTTTGGGGCTGACCGGCTCCTTGAGCAACACCCAGGGCCGGTTCCTGCTCGGCGTCCCTGCAGGGTGCCAGATGAGGAACGGGGCCGAGAACCGCGGCAATGGGAAAGTCCGTGCACGGGAATGCAGGGGCACAGCTTCCAAACCAGTTCCTTCCAGCCTTTGGCTGAATCCCCCCCAGGGACTGATGGACGAGTGGAATTTATTCCCAGTTTTTCCTGGGCTGTGCTATCCAGACGCACGGGGCCCAGATGCCACGGTGATGGGCTTCACTGGAAACCCTGGCGCTCGGCTTCCGGTCCCCAAACGGTCCTTAGGGTGAGCGCCTGAGCCTCGATTTCTCCTCTCTGCAGTCAAAAAATCAAGCGATTTATGGCATGTCCCCCCTGTGGGGGAAGACAGTGGCAGCGTGACACCTTTTCCGGAGGGGTTCAGGCACGGCTGCGGTGGAAATGGGGCTGTGTTTGCACCCGCATTCTTCCTCCCCACAGTTCTGCCCCTTATCTTCTTCCTCCTCCTGTCTCTGCCGCCCTTGCCCCTCGTTTCAGTTCCTCCTTCCCAAAATATTTTGAGCAGCTGACAGCGGGGCTGGGAGAAGCAGTGGTGGTTGCTGACCCCAAATCAATGCAATGAATTAATAAATACCTCGGGAGATTTCTGGGGTGTGCAAGCAGGGATGCTCTGCCTGCATCCCATTCCATGCCCTCCCAGCCCGCCGTGACCCCGCTGCCCCGGCCCAAGAAAGCCGGGTTTGATGCCAGGGGCTGCTGACTTCATCTCTTCCGGGGGGGGTCAAAGCGGCAAGAATAAAGCGGGGTTTGTTCCCCTCCCACGCGCCAGGGCAGGATGCGACCCAGCCCAGGACCTTGGGGCGCTGCCGGGGGGACACAGCACACCCACTCAGTGCATCCCCCTGGGACTGAGTTGCTGACAGAGCGCTGATGCGTTTTAGCCTGCAGGAAATAGATTTATTTTTTCTTCCTTCTGTTGGATGCTGGCTCTGGGAAGCTGACTGTTTCTGCACGTGGGTCATCGGGCGCCGTGGGAGAGTGGGGCTGCGGCTGCGCAGCCGGGGAAGAGACCGGGATGCTCGCTGAGGCAGGAGCATGGGCTTCAGGGAAACTTCTCCTCGCTGTTGCCCCATGCCTCAGTTTCCCCCTTGGTGCTGCTCTGTGAACCTTTTGGAAGCAGTGCTTCGGACAGAACCTGTTCCCTTCTTCATGGCAGAAGAGATGCTCGTGTGGCTCGGAGAGCATCCTCCGCAGGGGAGCATCGTCCTTTCACACCCCTCCTTGGCCTACCCACTTCTCAGCTGCCCTTTCTGCCCTCCAGGTCCCATGGTACCAAGTGACGTGTCCCCCCTGTGAGATTCGCGCCCCCCCGTCCTCCTGAGAAAATGTCAGGGTTGCAGGTAAGCGCTGGGAGGCGAGGAGAGGCGGGGATGGAGTGGGCTCCATCAGAGGGATTGGAGCCCTGTGTGCCCACGGAGGGTGTCTCCATGTGTCGAGGTGGGGCTGGGGGTGCCCAGGTGGAGTCTGATGCCACCCCCCCAACTCCCTGGCCAGGCTGTTTGGCCGTCCGGTACTGAATGTATCGCCAAATACAACTTCCACGGTACCGCCGAGCAGGACCTGCCCTTCAGCAAAGGAGATGTCCTCACCATCGTCGCTGTCACCAAGGTAAGGCCATTGCATCCCCAGGGCTGCTACTGCCACCCCAATCCTGGGTTTTCCACGAGATGCCAGGAGCATCCCTGCGTCGGTGGGGTCGCCTGGAAGCCCCGCAGAGGCAGCAGGGCAGGAATCAGGCCAGGCCTTTGGTTAATTAATTCCTGGCCTTGTTAGTTAAGGTTTCTCTGAAATGTAAACCTCTGAAGAGCCTCCCGGGAGGTGGAGGAGGGAGGGAAGAGGCTTGCAACTGGGGAACGGTGCTGTGCTCAGCTCCAGGGGTGTAAAAGAGAGGAGTCTGGTGGAGGGGTGGGGATGTCTGGCAACCTGAGAGTGGGGTTACAGTGACGCCCGTGGGGCCACCAGCATCGGGGTTTGCTAGCCCTAGCACCAACCCCGGCCTTTGTGGCTCGTGGTGCCACCTCTGCCATGTCCCCTCGCCCAGGATCCCAACTGGTACAAGGCGAAGAACAAGGTGGGCCGGGAGGGTATCATCCCTGCTAACTACGTGCAGAAGCGGGAAGGAGTGAAAGCTGGGATCAAGCTCAGCCTCATGCCGTGAGTATCTGCGGGTGCAGAATTGCGATCCCAGTGTCACCGGTGACCCTCAGTCTGGAGGAACTGGGGCGAGGAAGGATCCATCCCCCGTCACAGGTGGTTTCACGGGAAGATCACACGGGAACAGGCAGAGCGGCTGCTGTACCCCCCCGAGACGGGGCTGTTCCTGGTGCGGGAGAGCACCAACTACCCCGGGGACTACACCCTGTGCGTCAGCTGTGAGGGGAAGGTGGAGCACTACCGCATCATCTACTCCTCCAGCAAGCTGAGCATCGACGAGGAGGTCTACTTCGAAAACCTCATGCAGCTGGTGGAGGTGAGCTGCCACCAGCCTGGGGACCTTAGGGTTGAGGTTTTGGCAGGGGGAAGTGGGGGTCGGAGCTCGGGGTGGTGCAGATCTGGAGCTCAGGAGGTGGTGGGAGCTGGACATCGGGGGTAAGTGAGGGGACAGGGGCAGGAGGGAAGGGGTGGGTGAGGTAGCAAAGGGATGGGGACCCCATCCGGGCTCCCACCGGTGCCATCTGCAGCCTCGTGCTGCCACCTGGTGGGGTCCCCGAGCCCAGCATGACTTCAGCGGGGAACCCCCACCCCAGGGTGTCCCCCACACCGCCGTGACACCCCTGTCTCTCTGCACCCCCCAGCATTACACCACGGATGCAGACGGACTCTGCACCCGCCTCATCAAACCCAAGGTGATGGAGGGGACGGTGGCAGCACAGGACGAGTTCTCCCGCAGTGAGTGGCCATGGCTCTTCCTTGGCTCCTGGGACCCCTCACAGACCTCCCCCCCTCACTCTTCCCTTTCCTCCCCTTTCTGCAGGCGGCTGGGCCCTCAACATGAAGGACCTCAAATTGCTACAGATCATTGGCAAAGGGGAATTCGGAGGTGAGCCCTGTGTTCCTAACGCCACGGTGGTCCTAGATTGGGCCAGATTGGGTGATGCTGGGGCCTCGGGATGCTTCCCAGTGCCTCCCATGCCCATCTTTCCTGGCCCACAGACGTGATGCTGGGAGATTACCGGGGGAACAAAGTCGCCGTGAAGTGCATTAAAAACGACGCCACAGCACAAGCCTTTCTGGCGGAGGCATCCGTCATGACGTGAGTGTTACCAGGGATGGGGAGCGGACCTATGAGCAGAGGCCGGTGGTCTCTGATGACCCTGGCACCTGTGGGAGCCCCCTTTGTCCCCAGCCCCCTGGCCTGAGCCCTCTTGCACCGCGCAGGCAGCTCCGACACAGCAACCTGGTGCAGCTCCTGGGGGTGATCGTGGAGGAGAAGAGTGGCCTTTACATCGTCACCGAGTACATGGCCAAGGTGAGACCCCCCCACCCTGGGCACTTGCCTTTGTCGTCCCCTCCAGCATCCCCCCCAGGGTCCCAGGGATTCGCCCTGCCAGACTCAGCTGGGTCAACCCACCACGGCGATGCCATCTCCCCATGACATGGGGCCACCATGGTGTTTGGGGATGGCAGTGCTGCTCCATGCCCCATCACTGGCTTCCAAGGAGGGATGTGGTCCTCAGGTCCTGCCCCACATGGGAGGGACGTCCTTCCTGGGTCCTGCCCCATGCAGGAGGGGGTGGCGGGTGGGATGCTGACCTTGGTGGCCCCATCTCTCTCCAGGGCAGCCTAGTAGACTACCTGCGGTCGCGCGGTCGGTCGGTCCTGGGTGCAGACTGCCTGCTGAAGTTCTCCTTGTAAGTACGGCAGCAAGGCACCGATGGTCAGCCATGCCCACCACCCTGACCCACACCCACCTGCATTTTTGGGACCACCTTACTTAACCCATCTTCTCCTTCACAGAGATGTCTGTGAAGCCATGGAGTACTTGGAAGCCAACAACTTTGTCCACCGGGATCTGGCGGCGAGGAACGTCCTAGTCTCGGAGGACAACATCGCGAAGGTCAGCGATTTCGGGCTGACCAAGGAAGCCTCCTCCACACAGGACACAGGGAAGCTGCCGGTGAAGTGGACGGCACCAGAAGCACTTAGAGAAAAGGTGGGTGAACGGAGTGGGAGAGGGGCACAGGTTTGATGTGTCCCAGGTTTGGGCACGTCACACGTTGCCCACCCAGAGATGGACCCCCAAAACCTGCTGTCCTAGGGGTGGAGATCATCTGCTCCCCACCCCTGCCTGAGCCCGCTCATGGGATTTCTCTCCCACCTCCTTCAGAAATTCTCCACCAAGTCGGACGTGTGGAGCTTCGGGATCCTCCTCTGGGAAATCTACTCCTTCGGGCGAGTGCCTTATCCAAGAATCGTAAGTGAAAACCACCCCCCTTTCCCTTCAGGGCTGGGTTTTAGGGGAGCCAAACCCCTATATTGGCGGGAAACCCCCCCACCCCACATCCTAAAACCCCTCCCCTGTACC